TTCACTATGTAAATTCACTATGTAAATTCACTATGTAAATTCACTATGTAAATTCACTATATGTAAATTCACTATGATGTAAATTCACTATGATGATTATTATTTCTGGCCACACCGTACAGCTTGTGGGATCTTAGCTCCCCAGCCAGGGATTGAACCTGGGCCCCCTGCAGTGGAAGCATGTAGTCTTAACCACTGGACCGCCAGGGAAGTCCCTCGCTATTATGTTTTTTTTAAAAAAATCACCTGCACGGGACTTCCCTGGCGGTCCAGTGGTTAAGACTTCATCTTCCAATGCAGAGGGTGCGGGTTCGATCCCTGGTCGGGGAGCTAAGATCCCACATGCCTCATGGCCAAAAAACCAAAACATAAAACCGAATCAATATTGTAACAAATTCAATAAAATGGTCTACATCAAAAGATCTTAAAAAAAATAAAATCACTGCCAAGTTCATAGCATCTCATGGGACAGGCATCAGCGTTGCATCTGAGCCCAGATGTGGGGTAGGCACTGCTGAAATGTTGACTGATCCAGACGAAGGATCATCTCCTTTTGAATAGCTCTGGATCCGATAGGCTGATTTCAAGGTGACAAGAATGTGCTGAATCATGTCCTTGAAGGGCTGGATACCATCTTTATTGAAAATTCTGAAATTTGGGGACGTCCCTGGTGGTCCAGTGGCTAAGACTCCACACTCCCAATGCAGGGGGCCCAGGTTCGATCCCTGGTCGGAAAACTAGACCCCGCATGCATGCTGCAACTAAGAAGTCTGCACGCTGCAACTAAAGATCCTGTGTGCTGCAACTAAGACCTGGTGCAGCCTAAATGAATAAATAAATAAAAATAAATATTTAAAATTCAGAAATTTTGACCATCAGGAATTTGTTGGGGGGTGTGGGGGGCTTAATGCTGATTTTTAAAAAATTCTTTTTAATTTTTATTTATTTTTGGCAGTGCTGGGTCTTCGTTGCTGCGCGCGGGATTTCTCTAGTTGTGGCGAGCGGAGGCTACTCTTCGTTGAGGTGTGCGGGCTTCTCATTGCGGTGGCTTCTCTTGTTGCGGAGCATGGGCTCTAGGCGCGTGGGTTTCAGTAGTTGTGGCTCGCAGGCTCAGTCGTTGTGGCTCGCAGGCTCTAGAGTGCAGGCTCAGTAGTTATGGCGCACGGGCTTAGTTGCTCCCTGGCATGTGGGATCTTCCCGGCTCAGGGCTCGAACCTGTGTCCCCTGCATTGGCAGGTGGATTCTTAACCACTGTGCCACCAGGGAAGTCCTTAATGTTGATTTCTAAAGCCATTGTATTAAAATATATTGAATCTCAATGACCAAGTTTTGGGGCCCCTTAAATTTTGTGCACAGAGGCAGTGCCTCACCCTGATCTTAACCCTAATCCCACCCCCGGGGAGTCTTCCTCCTACTTCTTGGAGATACACGATCAGTGTTACTTCAGTGCCTCATTTGGAAAATGGGGTGAAGAAGCAGACTTTGGAGGTTGGGGGAATTAAGTGAAATACTACTTTATTATGTGCTGTTACCCCGTTGAGGTTGGGTGTCTGCGATTGGTCCCCAAGGGCAGCTGGTAGAAGGTGCAGGCATGTCGACCTTCATTCCTGGGTCTGCATTCTCTCCATGCTGTAGGCAAACAGACGCCTGACCGAATTTGGCCCTTGGGCCGTAGTTTTCTAAGAAAAACCCCTGTCTTTCTTCACTGAGTGGAAGAAAACCCATTTGGAGGAACCTCCTTCTCCGTGCCCTGTCTCATGGGGGAATATTCTGGGGTCCATGTTTCCTGGGATACTCAGCACAAGAAAGAGATCCAGGGGATAGCATCTATGTCATCCAAGACATCCTCCCCAATTCCTGTGAATTTGCAGAGTATGGACCACACAGGTCAGCTGAGGTAACCCTGTACAGCTCAGGGCTATCCAAGTTCTCTTCCCATATTGATACTTCTTGCAGGAAAAATGGTAGGAGAGTTGAGTGTTGGCCATCACCTACAGGTAAGAGTCTCTCGTGGGCATCTTTATTCAGTCAGGGAAACACGTATGGACCTTGTTGGTCCAGTTTGACTCATCGGAATGGAGCTTCTGATCCATTGCCAGGGACCTCCTGAAACCCATGGCTTAAAGGATGCTGTCTGTTTACACGGGACCTTCGGAAACAAAATAAAAATAAAACCATTGTCCAGATCTGATGGAGGGAAAGGGGCCCCCAAACACCGTTCAGAATGGTCCTGTCTTCACTGAGATTTCTTTTGTTCAGGGGCTGGTTGAAAGCTCACCAGCTGGGAAGATCTGGGAAAGCTCGGTCCATACAGGTGGCCTTTCCCTGCTGGGTGTTGGTGTGGTCCAACGGGATTGAGATGCAGGCTGACCCCAGGGCACTCGCCCTGGGTTACAGGAGATTTCTTTAAAGACTGCCTTCCAGAGCCGGGTCTGGGCATCCTGGCCAGGGTCCCGCATGACTGGACGGATGAGAAGTGTTCACACCTGCTGGTGAGAACCTATCAAGCCTGCAAGACAGATACGTGGTAGGGCTGGGTGTCGCTGTGCTGTCAACTCGGGGCAGGGTTGGCAGACTCTCCTTGGGGTGCCGGGGACTGAGTTCATGTCACAGGTAAGGGGAGTCGTCCAACCAAATGGCTCTCCTTCCACATCAGTAATTAAAACCGACAAAAAAATGGCATTGATAACCATCCTGCCGCGCATCCCAACGAAAGATGGAGGTCTCCGCTGTGCGCGATGGGGACAGTATCCTGTGAGGTCACGATGCTGAGGGCCCACGAGGGCGTGGGCACAGCCTCTGTGTGTCACGAGGTCACAGTCACAGCCGACCGCTGAAGGTTTCCTTGCTTTCGGGACATCACCATGTCTCAGGCTTTTGAATTGCTTCTCCCTCTCCAGAATCGTCTATTTTCCCCAGAAACTGTGGTTCTGCTAGTGGGGAATCATTTTCAGAGGCGGAGTTGCCATTGCTGGGAGGGCAGTGTTTCTAGACTGGAGAGAGCTAGGAAATGGATTGAACACGCTGAATTATTTACATTTCCATCCATAGGGACGTTACCGGGCAGTTACTCAGTGTTCCTAACGCCGTCCTTGTGTGGTGTCCTACACCCGGAGCCATGCTCCTAAGATCATCAATAGTACTTGTTTGCCTGTCCTGATCTGTACATGACGTCATTCCAAAGGAGCAAAACCAAGGTCACTGCAAACAAGAGAACTGCCAGGCGGTGCTGTGGCTTGTCTGCAGTTCTTCTGTTTAGAATATCCACGAATTGGTGCATCCACGGTCACAGAAACTACGGTTGTCGCCCGGAGGTGATGTTGCCCATCGGCTCGTGGTCTTTGGTTTGCTTCCAGTGTTTAGGCCTTGCCTCCGCTTTTTATGTGTTAATTCTTGGAGGACTAACACATTGGCATGATTCGAAAACCAAATGCTGATGAAAGGTCCATGCAGAGAAGTCCAGCTTGTAATCTGACCCCCTCACACATATTTCTCCCCAGCTCTTGTAGGAGAGCTGATTTATGCTCTTTTTAAAAAAAAAAAAAAATTACAAAAAAAATAAATAAAGCCGCCATGTTTCCTGGGTGAAGCCACGCCCGGGAGGGACCTGGCACCGGGGCCGCTGCCCACAGCATCCACGGTCACCTTGCCGCTCACCCCCCTTGTGTCTGAGATCCAAACACAGCGCCTGCCGGTTTGCATATTTCTCTGGATGGCCGGAACTCTGCAAGGGAAGCCGTCGATGGTGCTGAAGCCAGGGGCAGCCCTCGGAAGCAGAGGAGCATGGCTTTGCAGGTCCGGAATTTCTAGCCAGCAGGAAGCTGACCTCGGGCACGTCACCTACCTTCTCTGCACCCTCACCCTTCAAATTTAACAGACGGGACTGGGTAATCTCTAAAGTTTGTCTTAAGTGCCCTGCGATTCTTTCACTACGTCCAACCAATGCTTCTCAGCTGGGGTGATTTTGCCCCCCGCCCCCCGTTGGGGACACACCTGGTAGTGTCTGGAGGCATCTTGGGCTGTCACGCTGGTCTGGAGGATGCTGCTGGCAGCTGGTGACTGGGTACCAGGGATGCTGCCCAACACCCCACAGTGCACAGGGTACCCCACATCAGAGAGTGGCCCAGCAGCCCCCGATGCCCACAGTGCCGGGCTAGGGAGACTGGGTTAGGATGTGGTCACACTGCAGCTTCCCCGATACTCGTGGCTGTAACGACAGGACTGGCTCTTAGGGGTGCGTAGATTTCTTAAGAGTCCTCCTGAGCTGAGGGCTCTGGGAGGGTCACGCTGTCTCCTTGGGGGTAGGAAGAGAAACAGGTATTGGGAAGACCTTCAGAAGATGACGGAAAGCGAGCTGCTGGTCCCAGACTGTGCTCCCCAGCGTTGGTCCAGCTCCGTGGCCTGCGGAGGGACCGGGTGGACTGAGCAGGAAGGACCCTTCAGGGCGCCGGGAATCACCTGCTCTGGCTTCTTCCCAAATACCTCTCAGGACAGCCTGGAGCCTTGGAGGGAGACATCCTCCTGTTGCCACGGCGACGCTGGACCACTTGGGGCAGGACCGGGATGCCTGTCTGCCAGCAGATGGCGCCGTTGGGCGGTTTAATGGACGTTGGCTCCACGGACCAGGCAGCCACCAACCAGAGGAGGCTGGGGTAGCCGTAAACGGAGAAGACACACCCACTTTATGCCTTTGCCCCCGAAAATGTTAGGTTTCACGAAAACAAGTACCTTTTCATCATTTTCCCCCGTGAAGGGCGATTACAAAGTAAGAATAAAAGGCATCATTCTCCAGGTTCTAAGTAAGGGAGGGGACACTGCCCCCCGCCAACACCCTGTCCCGTGGAGAGACACCCTGGGCCTGGTGGATAAAAATGTACAGTAGGGCCGGCTGCATCTCTCGCAGCAGGGCCCTGGAGCCATTGCCGGAAACACCACCTCTTTCTGGAGGGTTTCTGCCCCAATAAAGAATTTGCGTGGTCAGCAGTGATATGGAAGCCCCCGGTCAGCTTGTTTAGAAGACGGCATGAACCCTTTGGATTAAAACACACACACACACACACACACACACACAGTTCTTGTACAAGGTTGTCACAGAAAACGAAAACCCCCTCTCTTTTGTTTCTCTGACGTATTAGCTTCCACGGGGGACGACGAAGTACGCTGAACTGATGAACATTTCCCAAAGAACGTGTTTGCCGCTGCCTGGGTCGTTGCAATGCCTCCTGCCTCCTCCACGTGGGGCCCCAAGTCTGCACAAAGTGGAACCCCTTTATGTGCAAGGGCCGAATGCATCCATCCATGTAAGTTAACGGCTCCTTACAGCAGAAACTAACACAGCATTGTAAAGTAACTATACTCCAATAAAAAGTCATTTTAAAAATTTAAAAAAGGGACTTCCCTGGCGGTCCAGCGGTTTAGATCCTGGGCTCCCAATGCAGGGGGCTCGGGTTCGATCCCCGGTCAGGGAACTGGATCCCACACGCCGCAGTGATGATCCCGCCTGCCGCAAACTAAGACCCAGCGCGGCCACATAAATAAATATTTTTTAAAAATTAAAACAAAACTTTGCATTTTTGGCTTTTTTCACTCCTGCAGAACGACCGTGTCTATGGGAAGAGCATCGAAGGGAAATATGATATTGAAGGGAGACGGCAGTAAGCACACCCCAAACCCTCCTCTTTTACAGAGCTTTCACGCCTAGCATCTCATGGGACCCCTGGGGCTGAGTGTGCAAAAATGGACTTGCCGGGCTTGTGCAAATGCATGCAGGGAGACGTTTGCTAGGGAGCGGAGTCTGTCCCGTTTGGAACGATGCACCAGGGTGGGACTGTCACCCCCAACCCCTGCCCTGTGGAGATGCTGGTGATGAAACTGTGCTGGAGAAGGCTTACGGGGTCCTCCAGATCGACTGTGGTTCATCTCTGGGCTGCCCTGTGCCCATGTGACTGACACCTGCCTGGCTCTGTAACTGCCTGATTTCGGGGAGGGGGCGTCGGCCAATGGGTGAGAAGGGGCTGCTGCCTAGCAGGTTTCTCCTGGGTTCTTCTCCCCAAACTGAGCAGCTCTTTCCTTTGGTCTTCGAGACCTGGGGCGGGTGTGTGTGCATCCCCCTCCCTTGGGGATTCCCCTTGGCCGAGCCCACGCTGTAGGAGTGTCTCATCTATGATCTCCAAGACGCTGACCCATACAGGAAGGAAGCAAGTAGCTTCTTCAGTGCCAGGCTGAACAAACGGGTATTATTCGGACGCTATCAGAATTTCAAAGGGCCACCCTCAGCTAGACAATACCTTGGCACCGTTTATTTTAAATTTTCTAATGTGATTCTTTAACAAATGTAAATCCGTATAGCAGGGTTTTTTAAAAAAAAATATTTATTTATGTATTTGGCTGTGCCGGGTCTTAGTTGGGGCACACGGGATCTTTAGTTGCGGCATGCAGGATCTAGTTCCCCGACCAGGATCGAACCCCGGGCTGCCTGCACTGGGAGTGCGGAGTCGTAACCGCTGGACCGCCAGGGAAGTCCCTGTGCCATATTTTAGATTCCACAGATAAGTGACATCATATGATATTTTTCTTTGTCTGACTGACTTTACCTCATATGACAGTCTCTAGCTCCATCCACGTTGCTGCAAACGGCATGATTTCATTCTTGTTTATGGCTGAGTCATATTCCATTCTGTATATGTACCACATCTTCTTTATCTCTTCCTCTGTCGATGGGCATTTAGGTTGCTTCCATGTCCTGGCTATTGTAAATAGTGCAGCTATGAACATTATTTTACTTTTTAGAATAATAAAGTGATCTTCATGATGCTTATAGATGGACATGGCTACAAAATGGTTAGCTTTGGAAAAGTAGAAATTGCTTTAAAAATTTGTCATTAATAGTAAAGCCATCCTCCACATACCTGACCCGCCACCCCAATCATTAAGCTACCAGCAAATCAAAACCTAATTAGTATAGGAGACTTCAGTTGGGAAAATAGATTCTAAAATTTATCATAAACAGGTGCACATCTCTCAGGATGGCTACTATCAAAAGAGACTCCAGAAAATAACAAGTGTTGGCAAGGATGTAGAGGAACGTGAACGCTTGTGTAATGTTGGTGGGAATGTAAAATGGTGTGGCTGCTGCAGAGAGCGGAATGGAGGTTTCTCAAATAGCTAAAACACCGAACTACCATAGGATGCAGACTTTGAGTGTTTACCCAAAAGAATTGAGAGCAGAAACTCGGAGAGGTCTTTGCACACCCACGTTCACTGCAGCATTATTCACAACGGCCAAAATATGGACTGTAAACGTCCATAAACGTAAATGTTCATGCATGGGTGGTGGACACACAGAACGGGGTCCATGCACACAGTGGAATATTACTCAGTCCTAAAAAAGGAGGGAAATTCTGACGCAGGCCACGACGTGGATGGACCTTGAGGACGTGAGGCTCAGTGACACAGGCAGTCACAGAAGGACAAATCCTGCAGGCTTCCACTTATATGAGGTCCCTAGGGGAGTCAAATCCATAGAGACAGAGAGAAGGAGGGTGAGTGCCTGGGGCTGGGGAGTGGGTGTTTAATGGGGACAGTTTCAGTCTGGGCAGATGAAAGAGTTGTGGAGATGACGCTGGCGATGGTTGTACAACGTGAATATGCTCAAGACCACTGAGCTGTACACTTAAAAATGGTCAATTTGATGTTGCGTCTTTTTTCCATCATTAAAACAAATCCCCTATAAAGAACTGTAGGCACATTCCCCTCAGCGCAGACGCGATGACCCAGGCCGCAGAAGGAATCTGCTGGCTTTGGAGGACAGGCGGGTAACCCGTGCAGACAGAGGATCGAGAACAGGGGACAGACAGTTCCACACACACACACCCCCAACCCCGGGAGCGGAAGCTAGGATTCCTGCTACCTGCCTCCGGAGAAGCAGCAGGAGGGTGAGGAACCTGCACAAGTAGGGGTGGCGGGGAGCTGGAGAACACAGGTGTCCTATCTGGGAAGCCGCATCCCAGGTGGGAGCGAGCAGGTGTCCCGACGGACAGCAGGGG